GGGAAAAACTGAAAGTGAGATCACACCCCTCTAGGAGTTACTGGAGACTCTATGGCGGAACCCCAGAAGTAATGCCATGCCTTTGGCCTAATGGCAATTAAAAATAAATTCTCCCTCCACCATTTTGAGCAGTGATGGGGAAAGGGGACTGCCAGTGGGAGGGAGACTTGACAATGCTGGGTAAGACTGACAAGGTAGAAATTTAATTTTCTGCCTATCAGGGATGATGACTCCCCCTTCAATAACCAGTACAAGATGACTATCTTAGGGCATTATTGTATTCCCCCCCCTTGACCTAGCAGTTGTGCTCTTCTCCATCAAGAATCTGAAGTGGAGGGAGAGGCTAAAAACTTGAGTCCTCCCTTACATTTTGTTGAAATACGTGGAGGTATGTGTTTGGCCCTTGGATCATGTCATGTCCACAGGAGGAGGAAGCAGCTGACACTGTATGTATTTTAAAGAGCCTTAATATTTTGTTTTTCAAACCACTGCAAATGTGGAAATGTCATATTGTACTTTAAGAAAGCAGCTTGAAAGCTCTTTAAAATGATACAAGTTCACTTAATGGTAGGGGTGGCACTATTATGGACAAACTGTTCTGGTTTTACTGAGATGCCCTATTTGGTTTTGATGGCTGTCACTTTACAGTGCTTCCTCTTAAGATAGTCTGCTCACTGAAAGTTTTTATTTTCTGTTTTAACAGATGATATCCTTCCAATATTTGCCTATGACCACACGGTGGGAAAATCAGTCACTGGGGGATATGTTTACAGAGGATGTGAATCTCCAAATCTGAATGGTCTTTACGTCTTCGGAGACTTTATGAATGGGTAAGAAAAAACTAGTTTCTACAATAGTGAGTCCAACTTACATGAACTTTAGTTCAAAGCTAGTATGGTGATCATTTGGTGCACTTTGAATGAACGTCCTCAGTGTTAAGGCTTTTTAGATTGTGGTCCAACTTGGCCCAGAAAGCAATTATCGGGCAACAGTGGGGATACACCTAAGGTTGCAACAGGCCTGGAGAAAAATGTCCCATCTCTTTAATAGAGGCTTGGTGTGTAGAAATGGACAGCTGGAGGCATGGAGTTAAATAATATCCCATTATGCCTAGATGCATTTCCATGGCCCATCTTTTCCTACTGCCACAGGTCACAAAGGCTGAGTAGGACTTGATGGACCACATCATAGAGAGCATAGGGTGATGGGTCCCACCAGACTATTAAAGGAATGTATTCCCCCCCCATCAAGTTGTAGCTAACTTATGATAGGATTTTCAACGCAACACAAAGGCTGAGTAGGACTTGATGGACCGCATCATAGGGAGCATAGGGTGATGGGTCCCACCAGACTGTTTAAGGAATGTATTCCCCCCCCCACTCAAGTTGTAGCTAACTTATGACACAAGAGATATTTAGAGGTGGTTTGCCATTAACTGGCTCTGTGTAGCAATCCTGGGATTCCTTGGTGGTCTCCCATCCAAAAGGGCCAGCCCTGCTTAGCTTCCAAGATCTAGACGAGATTGGGCTAACTCTGGCTATCCAGATCAGGGCAAAGAATGTCCTTACAGAAGATAAAACAATGTATAGGTTATGGTTAGGTGGTAGTGTAATTGTGCTGGGCATGGGGTTGCCAGGTACAGGTAAGGAAATATCTGGAGATTTTGGGAGTGGTGCCTGAGGGAAGGGAGGGACTTCAATGGGGTATAATGACATAGAGCACCTTTCAAAGTGGCCATTTTCTCCAGGTGAACTGATCTCTGTCACCTGGAGACCAGGTGTAATCCCAGGAGTAGCAATTCAGAATGCATTTTCTATGCCGCAGTGGAACTATACAGTCATAAAACATAAGGTTTTATTTTTTACCCAGTCGCCTTATGGCTTTACAGGAAGATGAGAGAGGACATAAATGGAAGAAGCAAGATATTTGCATTGGTAGCACTAAAGCCTGTGCTTTCCCAGGGCTGATCAGCTCTTATAGCAAATTCATCATCTCTTTTGCAGAGGATGAAGCAGGTAATGCATGTTATTGTCTCAGCTTTTGAGGAAAGCAGGATTCTGTTTCACAAAAGTGGGAGGAGTTAAATAGAGAAAATGATGGCAGCTTTGGGTAAATGCAGGCAACAGAGGCTACAGCTATGAACTTCTTTCACAGTAGAGATGAGCGAAAATTCCTACTGTGTAGATTTGCCCAGTTCCCAGCTGTGCTCATACAGACAGTAATGTCCCCCCCCCAAAAAACCAAGTGAGCAGCACTCCCCTTACCTAAATGCTTGGGTAGCGCAGTGGGTGCAATCCAGAAGCAGCAGCATGAAAACTGAACAAATGCAATTGTGGGGAAAGGGTATATATGGTCGTGAGGGACAGCAGCCATACTGCTGTGAGTTTTCATAAGAGGTCACATCAGGCTTGCTCAGTTCCCCTCCAGCCAAGCCAAATGCAGCCTGCTAGTTACATAAGATGGTAATTACGGGCTACTCTTTTCACTGCCTGCCTGGTGTTGCAGGAATGGGGAGTCTGCCCGACACCCAGCAGACCACATGATGTAGCTGACAGGCTGCACCTGGTTTGGTGGGGTCCCAAATTGTGAAGGCCCAGTTTAAGTAAAAATTACAATACATCAAACATTGATTCACTTTGTGCAGTTTTATCTGAATCCGTTCATGTTACTGGCTTTATCCTCCCTTCCTGTTTATTCCAGGTGAACTTTATTTCCTGGCTACCTCCTATCCCAGTGCCTTTGCACCTCATGGCTCTCTCTACAAATTTGTGGATCCCGCAAGGTACTTCTTTAAAATGCATGCATTTCCTTGCTCTGCTACTTTTTAACAAACTCACTCATTTACTTTATTTTATTTATACCCCATCCTTCTCTCCAAGGGGGATCTGAAATGGCTTACATTGTTTTCCTCTTCTCCATTTGCCCTTGGGGGTTGGTAGTGGATCAGAATGGACTACTGGTACTTAACTGACAGAGGAACACCCCTCGTTCACACCACCTGATCTCAGTTTTTAGAGTGAAACCTCTGAAACAACTAGAACCATGACTGGGAAGCCAGCTTCTTACACTAGTTAGTTTCTTCAGTTTGCTTCTATCTACATTTGCAACTCAATCCACAAACTAGTTAAAGTGAAGTAGATTGAGATGAATCAAGTTGGTTCCATTTCAATCAGTGGGACACAGTGTTGCCAACTCAGGACTGGGAAATTCTTGAAGATTTGGGGATGGAGCCTATTATGGAGGGAGAAGTCTGGGGAGGGGAGCGAGCTCAGTGGGGTTGTGCTGCCATAGAACCCCACCCTCGGAAAATGCCATTTTCTGCACAGAAACTGATCTCTGTTGTTTGAAGATCAGTTGTAGTTCTGGGAGACCTCCAGCTGGCATATGCTAATGAGTTATGCTAATGAGTTCCCCTAGCTCTTTTTCTACGAAATGACCCCTGGTTTCTTCAGTTTGCTTCTGTCTACATTTGCAACTCAATCCACAAACTAGTTAAAGTGAAGTACATTGAGATGAATCAAGTTGGTTCCATTTCAATCAATGGGACACAGTGTTGCCAACTCAGGACTGGGAAATTCTTGAAGATTTGGGGATGGAGCCCATTATGGAGGGAGAAGTCTGGGGAGGGGAGCGAGCTCAGTGGGGTTGTGCTGCCATAGAACCCCACCCTCGGAAAATGCCATTTTCTGCACAGAAACTGATCTCTGTTGTTTGAAGATCAGTTGTAGTTCTGGGAGACCTCCAGCCCTCACCTGGAGGTTGGCAACCCTAGTTAACTGGCTAAAATTGCATTTGAAGGATGTGTAGATGGGCTATCTGTAAAGACTGACATTCAAGGGCCAAACTGCATGTTACGGGTCATTCCGTGATTCCCTCCCCTCATTTTTTCCAAAGTAGGCACAGGTGGTAGCATAAGAATGAACAGATGACTGTCTTGGATGTAATTTAGGTAGGCTGGACATCACCCTCCCCCATGGCATGTTATCATTTCAAGTAGTAGTGCAGAAAATGGAGCGTTATAAACTTCCAGTTTTTCAAGTCTGGCATGTGTTGGTTAGAATATATGGTAACCCTAGAGGTAAGGCAGAGTTTGAAATGCTGCTTTACAAATAGTGTCATCAATGGAAGCATGATATTAGAAAGTGAAAAAAATCAAAACTTAAAAAAGTATGTACAACTGCTATTTAATACAAATTTTGTTGACCATCAGTCTCCTGGAGACAGGCAAATAGTTTAGGAGAGACTGAGACTAAACATACCTAGTTATCTGCAAGGCTAGCCCACAGCCTTGTCTTATTTTAAAGCTATGGCTGAATAAATTGTGCTGTTCAAGGCCACAACAGAGATCCTTGTAGCTATAAAATGCAATATTTTCAAAATAATCCTTTAAAATTTTTTTTAAAGTTTTTTATTTTTAAACAGTAAACATCGATTCTATTTTCAGTGTAACCAGTATTGTCTTCTACTCATTCTCTCCAAGTTGGCCACCACCACTGCAGAAGGAAAGCATTCAATCCTACATGATGAATGGCTAGTAATAGGAGGGGGGAGCTCTATAAATTCAGAGAAATTGATGGAATGCAAAACCCTTTAAGGACTGAGAGCTTAACAGGGATTATTCAATTCATTGATTCACAAAGCGAACATTTTAAACTGACTTGCAAAACAGCATTCTACATTAGTGCCACTGTTTGTTGGTTTAATAGGTTTTTTTAGTTGCCAGTCATCCGAAGGGTCTTGTGGTAAAGGTAAAGGTAAAGGTTCCCTTGCTCGAAAGCCAGTCGAGTCCAACTCTAGGGTTGCGGTGCTCATCTCCGTTTCAAAGCCGAAGAGCCAGCGCTGTCCGAAGACGTTTCCGTGGTCATGTGGCCGGCATGACTAAACACCAAGGCGCACGGAATGCTGTTACCTTCCCACTGAAGTGGTACCTATTTATCTACTTGCAATTTCTTGCTTTCGAACTGCTAGGTTGGCAGGAGCTGGAACTAGAGACGGGAGCTCACCCCGTCATGCGGCAACCCGGGTCTCGAACTGCTGAACTACTGGCCTTCCACAGCCTGCAGTTCAGTGTCTTAACCACTTGAGCCACCGCAGCTCCATCTTGTGGTAACTTACATTAAAACCAATAAGCTTAAAATTATATAAAACAAATAACAAATATTAAATATTAACATTAAAATATGTGGCTATCACCATACTACTGTTAAAACAGCCCAAACACGTGGTTACCCATCAAAGGCTAACTTAAATAGTTCAGATTTACATGCCCTGCAGAAACTAAACAAGTCTGGCAGGGCACAGGTGTCATTTGAGACTGCATTCCAGAGGGTAGGGGCCACAACTGAGAAGGCCCTTCCCCTGGTGACAGCTAACTCAGCCATCCTGGGGCCAGGCCCCTAGACGATGACCGAAGGGAGTGTAAGAGGTTGTAACTGGAGAGGTGGTCCTGTAGCAATGAGGGTAGCAGAGCATTAAGAGATTAATTGGTAGCCAGTGCAGCTGCCGCAGAATTGGAGTAATATGAGCTGACCATGATGTTCCAGTCAGCAACCTGGCAGCTGCATTCTGGACCACCTTCAGTTTCTGAAGCATTTTCAAAGGTTACCCCTATGCAGAGCGAATTGCAGTAGTCCAATCTGGAGTTTGCATGGATCAATGTGGCAAGGTCTGACTCAGAAGAATAAAGAGCCAGCCGGGGGGCCTCGCACAGGTGAAAAAATGCTGACGGCGCTACCTTGGACACTTGTTTATCCAGTGATAGCACAGAATCCAAACACACCCTGAGACTCTTTACAGAGTCTACAGCTGTCAACTGGACACCAGCAACTCTTTGGAGTGGCCCTCCAGATAGCATTTCTGTCTTTCCCAGCCACATGACCTCCATCTTGTATGGATTCAACATCAGCCAGCTCCCCCTTAACCACTGGACCACAGCAGTCTGACACTGGGATAGTGCCAAGAGCTCTGCAGCAAACTGTTGATCCAGCAGGAGGAAAAGCTGACTGTCATCAGCATATTGATGTCACCCAACTCCAAACCTCCTGATGATCTCAGGAAAGAGGGTACATATATGTATGTGTGTTAAATGACATAGGAGATAGAATTAAACCCTGTGGGACCCCACAATTTAGGTCTCACTGGGAAGACCTCTCCTCCCAGATAGCGACCCTCTGAGAGTGTCCCTGGAGGAACAAGGAGAACCAACTAAGGGCAGTGCCCCTTACCCCCACGGAGGCAAGGCAGTCAATCAGGACCAAATGGTCAACTGCACTGAAGGCTGCTGATAGATCCAAAAGGAGCAACAGGGCCGGAATGCCTTTATCCAGTTGTAAATGGAAATCGTCAACTGAAGCAACCAGTGCTGTCTCAGTCCCAAAGCCAGGTCTGAAGCCCAATTGAAAAGGGTCCAGGGCAGATTGTTACACCTAACGTTTCTACATCCCGGGATCTGAAGTCCACATTTAATTTTTCAGTGAACAAATGCATTGTGGTCTTTAATTAAGAGAAGCTGTTAACTTTATTAGGTATCCCCTACTGTTCGGTGTCTCATAGTATCATTTCAATGGTTGTAGAGGTGTCTGTATTGTATTTATAGACCACAAAGTAGTAGCTGTAGTTACTGTGGTACAGGCAAGAGTGGTCCCATGACCAAAGGTATTCCTATTATCCAGATGAAAAGGAAATATAATTCAAACTGTTCACATATTAGGTTGAATCTTGTGAATTTATTCTATTGATTCCCCAGGAGCAAGATCTAAAGGCAGTCATTGTCAGGGGAAGGCTCTTTGTGGTGGGGGAAGACACCACTGTTAGCAGAACGTATCCCACAGGATCCAACCGTGGTTGCCAGCATGAGACTGAGAGTCACCAAGTGTGTGGGGGGGGAGAGACTGCACATTGTGAGGGACACTTTAGCACTCTACAAAAACTATGGTTGTAAGAGTTCTGACTGAATGCTACAGCATCACCAGTGACGTGCTGACATTTCTTCTGGTTGCGCCAGAAGTGACGTCAGCACATGGGGGATGCTAGCCATCACTAGCCCCCATTTCCCTCCCAGTGGTTCCCCATTGCCTAGATGAATGGCGGCAGGAAGGGCCTGCTACGGATAGGAAATGCCCTGCCCCCAGCAGAAACTTGGCAGCCCTAAATCCAACCCCTTGTATCACTTTTTATAAGCCTTTTGTCTATAGCCAATGCTTCTGATTATTGTATTATTGGTACTTCCCGGTGTATGTTGTGGAGCTATAACTCACTGGAGCAGTATATACAATCAGTCAAGAAAATGCTACCTGTAGTCTTCTCTTATCACTATCAGGTGTTTGGTTGAGTATTTAAGGCTGGAAATTTAAATTCCATCTGTGTCTTGTGTTTACTCAGCATCTCGTTGATTCTTTGTGCCTTCAGTGTAATGAGTCAAGTGTATTCTTAGAGGTTCAATTAAGCTTCAGTTCATTTGACCTCATCCAGTCCATTTGTGGTTGCCAGCTTCAGGTTGGGAAATGTTTTCCCCAAGAAGAGCTAAAGGTAAAGGTAAAGGTTCCCTTGCTCGAAAGCCAGTCGTGTCCGACTCTAGGGTTGCGGTGCTCATCTCCGTTTCAAAGCCGAAGAGCCAGCGCTGTCCGAAGACGTTTCCGTGGTCATGTGGCTGGCATGACTAAACACCAAGGCGCACGGAACGCTGTTACCTTCCCACCGAAGTGGTCCCTATTTATCTACTTGCAATTTCTTGCTTTCAAACTGCTAGGTTGGCAGGAGCTGGAACTAGAGACGGGAGCTCAG